CTCTAACATTTCTTTTAATGCATTTATCTTTGTACGTTGTTACTTGGGTTGTGTGGATATGTTTGGTTTTGTTGTTCATGGTTGATACGTGACAGAAGGCGGTGAGTTGAAATGGAATTCGCCAAGGAGCCCTGGGGTATCTATAGCAGAAAATGTGCTGGAAGACTTGGTTTCTTCTTTTAAACACCTGAGGAATGAAATGAATTGCGCACAGCTCAAAGAAGGAAAGCCTACTTTGATTGCTAGAGTGGGGAAAGTACTTTTTCGTAGGTTAGATTTCTTCCTTATCTGAGTCATTTAGTTGATTGTTTCATGCAATTATCCTTTTTACCTTTATGTTGTTCTTTTATCCGCCTCAGAATACTGGTTGAAGTAGAACAAAATAATAGTCGATACTATGATAGAATGTTACGTTTGACATTTTAGTTTAGAAGGTAGGATGCCAAGTTGGACAGTGAAGCAGGATTCTAAAACTCTGCCCTTGTTTTTCGATACTCGATACAATATTATTTTGTTATCGGTGCTTAATTACTGTCAATCATCTCATACTTCATATCAGTTTTGTACAAGGACTGTGGTATACCAATTTTTGTAAAAATCTTTGAATCAGGAGCCCCTTAGTTAACATGGAAGACATCAGAACAAATTTGTGTACTGAAATCTTGAAACAATGGAGACGATCATTGTACACAAACATTCCTGTTTCATATAAGGAAAGGATTGTGAACGAAGTTGTCCCAAAAATTGGAGTTGATTTCGAAGGGGAGAAAGATACATACCAAGTAAAGGTATTTCTTTTAGACACATCAACTTACTGAGTTCTGAGTTCATGCTTTTCACAATTTTAACTTTTGCTATTGAATCACTCATCTATGTCCCTTCTTGTTTAGTTGTCTGATTCCACCAGACCAGATGCAACTCTCTCCTGCAAATGCCGTGTAATGAAAGAACATGGAAAGCTACAACTCTACAAGGTAAGTTTTCTAATTCCTGCCAACTAAACTGGATGAAGATATTTCCTCGACTGTTCCCCCTCTTAAGTTTCCCTGTTGCTGGGAGGAGAGTTTATTTACTAGGACTTACATTGGAATGCCAACTTTCTTTTTAGATTGAACTGAATCAACTGCGTAACATGGTCGTCGACATTTCATGCACTACCAAAAATCTGGACCTGAGACTGATGCTAAACACAAAGAGACTCGTCACAGATCTGACTGTAAGCGGCTTCACCCAGTTCCTTTTAGAAATTTACATCTCTATTCCTTGTTTCAGCAAAACAATTATTTATATCCTAGTTATCATGGAGCCACAACCAAAACAACCAATAGAACATTTTCTGTTAAATGTAACTGGACAATGAGGTTTAACCATATTGGATGCATTCCTGAACTTATGCAGCTTGAAATGAGGTTTTGTGTTCATATGAATCGTTGCTATTTCAGGACGATGAGATGCAAAGCATTCGGAATCTGATTAATTCGGCGATTCTAGATCCAGATGTGAAGGGCGGGTTGAGATGGAATTCGGGAAAGGATTCTTCCGGAAAATACAAAGTTGATGGGGTTTGGCACTTAATAGCTAATACGTATAAAAATTCATCGTTCAGACTGAAAGTCAGACATGCGGATCGATTTGATTTTAGAACCCTAACTGGGGAAGCTGCTTGGGAGACAATTCTGATGTTGAAAAAGGTCCTGTCAAAGTTAGAGGTAAACGCTGCCTTTTCTCTGGGACAATTTCTTTTAGTTCATTTGCTGAATTAAAAGATTTATTTGAGAAGGTTTATCGTGTGCTGAAATCTCCTTTTCTTCCAATTTTCAGGAAGAGAATGCCGAAGCCAGCTCGGTTTCTGAGATACTGAAGGAAGACATGCAGCTGATATGGGACAACTTCTTGAGCTGTGAAGGATTCCTGACGTGAAACGGCATGTTGTAAATCAGTGATTTGTTTTGCTTTATTAGGTGTTTGTGATATCAGGATGTTAAACCTTTGTAGTCGTAGTTGAGTGTTTATTGGGAGAACTATTTGCATTGCTTAATTGGGTGTTTGTATAATAAGGATGTTAAGTTTGTTGACTTTTGCTTTAGTACGTATCGTTTTAGGAGGTTCTACCCTAAAGGACAATTGATAATAGGTGGAGTATTTATACTCTTGAGGTTCTATGATAACTTCGACGAAGCTATTGCAAGGTCTTTTAACTTTCTAACGACAAACAACACTCAACATCACATGTTAAAAATCTAACTATTCATACATTAAGTTGTCTTTGGTTTTTTTTTTTTTTTTAACTTTCTGATGGTGAAGATGAAGGGTTTTTTTTCTTCATATTGATTTGTTGTCGAAGCAGAAGAGTTTTCTTCAAATTGATTTTTTTTAATAAGGAAAAACCATTTTTCAATTGGTTTTTTATTCACGTGGCACAAATTTTGTGGGGCTACAACTTCCACATAGGTAGATAACGGAGAAACTAATATAAAATGATACACATGTATGATATTGGTGTAAAATATTGAATTGTTGTATGAAATTGAAATACACACAAACTTGAAATTAGACGAAAACTTAAAAGAGACAAAATGTAATTTATCTTTGGATAAATTACATTGTACCCCTCAGGTTTGAGGTCTATTACAGTCACATACAACATCTTCAAAACATTTCATTTTCATAACTCACCTACTATTTTATTTCAATATAGTATCTCCATTACATTTTACATCCATTGATCCGTTAAAAGTTGGCGTGGCTGCCACAGTTGTGCCACATGGCTGCCAAATGTGCGCCACATGGCTGCCAAATGTGCGCCACATGGCAAAAAAAAAAATTTTTATTCATTTAAAATATTATAATAATTTACCCTTAAAAAAAAGTCCAAATTGAAACCCACCTCTGCGCAACCCCCCAACCCTGCAAACAAACCCATAAACCTTCCCCCCCCCCCAACCCACCTCCCTTTCCTCCCATCACCACTGCAGCCCTTCCCCATCACCATCGCAGCCTCCAGACCACTCCTCCCTCATCACCTTCCCTACCCACCTTCTCCCTCCTCCACTTTCTCCTCCAATATTTAAATTTACAAAAAACAAAAAAAAAAAAAACCAAACAAACCCAGAAAACCCATAAACCCATCGTCTCCCTCCTCTTTCGACCTCCATCACCTTCACCGAGCCCAAACCCCTCCACCTCTGATGCTCTTCACCGCCACCATGTCCAACCGTCTCCTCCACCTACTCGCCTCTACGGGGCCCACTTCGACCACCCTCCCTCCTCTCTCCCCAGAGACCCACTCTCTTCACCGCTTGTTCGGGCCCAATTGGGACTCCCAAACCCCGTCACATAACCTTCACATCAAATATGAAACAAACCCACCAACCCATAAACCAAATCAGAAAGAATCACAAAAAAATAAAAAATAAAAAAAAAATCTGCAAGTATTGCAAAATAACGAGAGAGAGATGTCAGAGATAGCAAAGGAGAGGGAAGCGAGGGGTTGAGTGGTGGTGGGGGGAGGGGGTTGAGGGAAATGAATGAGTTGGAAGCGGGGCTCTATAAATGGTTCAGACAAAAGGATTTGGGTTCCGGTTCAACGTAGTCTTCTGCGGTGGGTCTCGACCAGGGAAAGGGAGATGAAGATAGTGGAGAAGGGAGAAGGTGCGTCGGGAAGGTGAAGAGGGAGGAGTGGTCTGGGGGCTGTGATGGTGATGGGGAAAGGCTGCAGTGGTGATGGGAGGAGAGGGAGGGTGGTCGAGGGGGGGAAGTTTATGGGTTTGTTTGCATGGGTGGGGGGTTGCGCAGAGGTGAGTTTCAATTCGGTGATATTTTTTTTATTTTTTAAGGGTAAATTATTATAATATTTTAAATGAATAAAAAATTATTTTTTTTACCACATGGTACAACTGTGGTAGCCACGTCAGTTTTTAACGGATTAATGAATGAAAAATGTAATGGAGGTACTATATTGAAATAAAATGTAGGTGAGGTATGAAAGCGAAATGTTTTGAAGATATTGTATGCGATTGTAATAGACCCCAAACCTGAAGGGGTAGTGTAATTTACCCTTTATCTTTTTTTTTACATTTTTCGGTGGGATTGATAATTTGCTTCCCAAATTTCTAGCCCACTGAACCCCAAAGATGCCTTTTGTGTTGTAACATGAGTATTTCAAGATAGTTTACATCTCCTATTGGAGATGCTCTAAGAATGTATCAAAAGAGTAATGTTTGGTAGACCAGTTTTTTAGACTATATTTGCATATTATGTGATTTGTTACCAATAGCAAATAAGCACGTTAATCAATACATAAATAGTAATCCAATCGTCAACAATTATGTCATATAGTTTACAAAATATGATTTAAATTAATAATCTTCATAGCATTACCCTTAAATACAAATAGAAATTCAATTGCACAAAGCTAATTTTATTCGTTTATTCGTCTTAACAGCTACTCTAGGAGGAATATTTTTATGCGGTGTAAAAGTTTAAAATCCTCCAGCGAGGTTAATTAGCAAAAAGATAAAGAAAATACCCTATAACAAGGTTTGTCATAAACATGAATGGTGTTATCTATGCATCTTTTTTTATCTTTTACACTTCAATTTTTATTTTTGACCAAGAATCAAATGAACTGAAGATTCTTAAAAGACAACAATTAACAAAAAAAAGTGTCAAAAATAAAATGATGCGTGTAGATACCATTGCCCAAAAACTTAACCCCTCCAGCAAGTTGTCTCTAAAGAGACAAAAGCAAAAGAAGAAAAACCCTCTAGCAAGTTGGAAATTATCTATTCTTAGGGATTAAGTATAAAGAGTAAAGGAGCGATCTTTCGAATTCCCTTCCATTTCTATTTTCAAGAAGTGTGATATCTACACACCATTTTTTACTTCTCTTACATTTTTTTTATTTTTGACTGTAAAATCGAATAAATTGAAAAATATTAACAAACAAAAATTAATAAAGGGTATTTAAAAAATAAAAAATAAAAAATAATGTGTGAATAACACCCTTCGTTAAAACCTCACAAGGCAATGCAGACAGTGAGACTACATAAATAGTGAATGAAGTGGAGGTTGATCACCCCAATTTCTTTATCTTCATCACAGTTTCTCTTCTATCAAGATTTCAACTTTCAATCTGCCTGTTTGTAGTGATTACTGGGTAAGCTTAGCTCCTTCATCTTCTCTCTCTCTGTCTCTCTACTTATAAATGGTTTGAATCATATCTGCTCTCTGTTCTTTGTTGATATGAATTCCAAGATATGTTTTGCTTCAAGAAAGTGATAAATAATGATTACCCAGTTGATCAATTTCTTAGGAAAGAACCCTACCATAATCAGATTCTCATTTTATTAGCTAAACCCTTGTTTTAATTTTTGTAATTGTTCCGAATGCAAATGCAAGGTTTTAATTTTCTCAGAAACCAATTGAAGTAAATGGAGTTAAATTAACCAAGAAGCTTAGACATAAGTTCGATATTCTTAAATAAGCATGAGAAGGGACACTTCTTGCTGCATAAAGTCTGTTTTTAATACTTTTTTCATGTCGTTTTTCGGTTGCCCTCACTTTGATCTTTGTGTTTTTTTTTTTTTTTTTTTTTTTTTAAAGCTTAAGTTGTAGTTTTACAATGGCTTACATTCCTGCGCACAAGCGGCCACTGCCAACTCCTGAGCTGCTTGCTCCTCAGTTCTGGAAACAAGGGATGCATACTGTCTTCTCTGCTGATACTAGACCCACAGCTCCCGCTGCTGCTCGTGGCGGTCGTCCTGGTACCTTCCGTGGTCGTGGCAAAGGCTATAGAGGTATGAGTACTCTGTTTTAATCCTCTTTTCTTTTCTTTTTTTTCGGTTGGCCTCATTTTCATCTTTGTTTTAGGCATAAGTGGTACTTCTGGAATGGGTTACGTTCCACCACACAAGTGGCACTCGAAGGAATCGGAGAGGCCATTGCTGACTTCAGAGCTGCGTGCTCAACGATTCAAGAAAAACTTATATGCCAAGCCATATAACAAGTCTAATGTGGATTGGACTCGAAGAATAGCTATTGCAGACCATTCTACATATCGATGGTGCGCCGCTGCTGCTCGTGGGGGTCGTCCTGATACCTTGCATAGTCGTGGCAAAGGCTATAGAGGTTTTCGTGGTGGTATGAGTACTCTGTTTTTAATCCTCTCTTTCTTTTCTTTTTCTTTTCTTTTTTTCAGTTAACCTCATTTTCATATTTGTTGTAGGCATAACTGCTCGTTCTGGAATGGCTCACATTCCACCACACAAGCAGCACTCGAAGGAATATGAGAGGCCATTGCTGACTTCAGAGCTGCATGCTCAACGATTCAAGAAAAACTTATATGTCAAGCCATATAACAAGTCTAACGTGGATTGGACTGGAAGAATAGCTCATGCAGACCATTCTACATATAGATGGTGCGCCGTTGGTTTGGGTGAGAAGAACCAATTTCCGCCTTCTGTTAATCTTAAGCCCATTTGCTTGTACTCCACTGAGCCGAAAGTTGAGGAAAATCGTCTGGCTTTATTCAACACTAGTCTAGATGATGGTTAGTACTCTAACATTTCTTTTAATGCGTTTATCTTTGTATGTTGTTACTTGGGTTGTGTGGATATGTTTGGTTTTGTTGTTCATGGTTGATACGTGACAGGAGGCAGTGAGTTGAAATGGAATTCGCCAAGGAGCCCTGGGGTATCTATAGCAGAAAATGTGCTGGCAGACTTGGTTTCTTCTATTAAACACATGAGGAATGAAATGAAGTGCGCACAGCTCAAAGAAGGAAAGCCTACTTTGCTTGCTAGAGTGGGGAAAGTACTTTTTCTTAGGTTAGATTTCTTGCTTATCTGATTCATTTAGTTGATTGTTTCATGCTATTATCCTTTTTACCTTTATGTTGTTCGTTTATCCGCCTCAGAATACTGGTTGAAGTAGAACAATATAATAATAGTCGATACTATGATATAAGGTTACATTTGGCATTTTTAGATTAGAAGGTATGATGTCAAGTTGGACAGTGAAGCAGGATTCTAAAACTCTGCCCTTGTTTTTCGATACTTGACACAATATCATTTTGTTATCAATGCTTAATTACTGTTAATCATCTCATACTTCATATCAGTTTTGTACAAGGACAGTGGTATACCAATTTTTGTTAAAATCCTTGAATCAGGAGGCCTTTATTTAACATGGAAGCCATCAGAACAAGTTTGTCTACTGAAATCTTGAAACAATGGAGACAATTATTGTACACAAACATTCCTGTTTCATATAAGGAAAGGATTGAGAACGAAGTTGTCCCAAAAATTGGAGTTGATTTCGAAGGGGAGAAAGATACATACCAAGTAAAGGTATTTCTTTTAGACACATCAACTTACTGAGTTCTGAGTTCATGCTTTCCACAATTTTAACTTTTGCTATTGAATCGCTCATCTATGTCCTTCTTGTTTAGTTGTCTGATTCCACCAGGCCAGATGCAACTCTCTCCTGCAAATGCCGTGTAATGAAAGAACATGGAAAGCTACAACTCTACAAGGCAAGTTTTCTAATTCCTGCCAACTAAACTGGATGAAGATATTTTCTTCACTCTTCCCCCTCTTAAGTTTCCCTGTTGCTGGAAGTAGAGTTTATTTACTAAGACTTACATTGCAATGCCAACTTTCCTTTTAGATTGAACTGAATCAACTGCGTAACATGGTCGTGGACATTTCATGCACGACCAAAAATCTGGACCTGAGACTGATGCTAAACACAAAGAGACTCGTCACAGATCTGACTGTAAGCTGCTTCACCCAGTACCTTTTACAAATTTACATCTCTATTCCTTGTTTCAGCAAACCAATTATTTATGTCCTATTTATCATGGAGCCACAACCAAAACAACCAATAGAACATTTTATGTAAATGTTACTGGACGATGAGGTTTAACCATATTGGATGCATTCCTGAACTTATGCCGCTTGAAATGAGGTTTTGTGTTCATATGAATCGTTGCTATTACAGGACGATGAGATGCAAAGCATTCGGGATCTGATTAATTCCGCGATTATAGATCCAGATGTAAAGGGCGGGTTGAGATGGCCTTCGGGAAAGGATTCTTCCGGAGATAAATACAAAGTTGATGGGGTCTGGCACTTAATAGCTAATACGTACAAAAATTCATCGTTCAGACTGAAAGTCAGACGTGCGGATCGATTTGATTATAGAACCCTAACTGGGACCGTTACTTGGGAGACAATTCTGATGTTGAAAAGGGTCCTGTCAAAGTTACAGGTAAACGCTGCCTTTTCTCTGGGACAATTTCTTTTAGTTCATTTTCTGAAATAAAAGATTTATTTGAGAAGGTTTATCGTGTGCTGAAATCTCCTTTTCTTCCAATTTTCAGGAAGAGAATGCCGAAGCCAGCTCGGTTTCTGAGATACTGAAGGAAGACATGCAGCTGATATGGGACAACTTCTTGAGCTGTGAAGGATTCCTGACGTGAAACTGCATGTTGTAAATCAGTGATTTGCTTTAATTTATTAGGTGTTTGTGATATCAGGATGTTAAAACTTTTGTAGTCGTAGTTAAGTGCTTATTGGGAGACTGATTTGCTTTGCTTAATTAGGTGTTTGTGGTATGAGGATAACTTTTGCTTGAGTATGTTTCATTTTAGGAGGTTCTACCCTAAAGTACAATTGATAATAGGTGGAGTGTGTGTGCGTGTCTGTCTGTATAAAGTCTTGAGGTTCTAAGATAACTTCAACGAAGATAACGACGGACAACACTTTACATCACACGTTAAAAATTCAAATGTTTATACATTAAGTTGTCCTTTGGTTATTTTAACTTTCTGATGGCGAAGATGGAGGGTTCTTTTTTTTATTTTTTTTCTTTCTTCATATTGATTTGTTGTCAAGACAGAAGAGTTTTCTTCAAGGAGAAACTAACATAAATTGATACAAATGTATGATATTGGTATAAAATCATGAATCGTTGTATAAAATTGAAATACGTACGAATTTGAAATTAAACGAAAACTTGAGGAGACAAAATATAATTTTTTTTTTTTTCACATTTTTCGGTGGGATAGATAATTTGCTTTCCAAATTTCTGGCCCACTGAACCCCAAAAATGGCTTTTGTGTTGTACCGTGAGTATTCAAGATAATTTACATCTCCTATTGGAGATGCTTTAAGAATTTAACAAAGAGTAATGTTTGGTAAACCAGTTTTTTATACTATATTTGTAAACTATGTAATTTGTCACAAATAGTAAATAAATATGTTGATCAATACATAAGTAATAATTCAATCGTCAATAATTACATTATATAGTTTACAAAATATGATTTAGATTAATAGTCTATATAGCATAACCCTTAAATACAAATAGAAATTCAATTGCACAAAGCTACTTTTATTCGTTTATTTGTCTTAATAGCTACTCTAGAAGGAACATTTTTATGCGGTGTAAAAGTTTAAAATCCTCCAGCGAGGTTAATTAGCAAAAAGATAAAGAAAATACCCTGGCAAGGTTTGTCATAAACTTGAATGATGTTATTTATACATCTCTTTTTATATCTTACACTCATTGCTTAATTTTTTTACTGTCAAATTAAGTAAATTAAAGATTATTAAAAGATAAAAGTTAACAAAAAACTTATAACCCCCCAGCAAGTTGTCTCTAAAAGTACAAGAGAAGAAGAAAAACCCTCTAGCAAGTTGGAATTTATCTATTTTTATGGGTTTAAGTGTAAAAGAGTAAAGGTGCGATCTTTCGAATTCCATTCCATTTCTATTTTCTTTAAAACCTCACAGGGCGATGCCGACTGTGAGAATATATAAATACAGTGAAAGAAGTGGCGGTTGATCACCCCAATTTCTTTATCTTCATCAAATTTCTCTTCCATCAAGATTTCAACTTTCAGTCTGCCTCTGTGTAGTGATTACTGGGTAAGCTTAGCTCCTTCATCTTCTCTCTCTGTCTCTCTACTTATAGATGGTTTGAATCATATCTACTCTCTGTTCTGTGTTCATATGAATTCCAAGATATGTTTTGCTCCAAGAAAGTGATAAATAATGATTACCCAGTTGATAAATTTTTTAGGAAAGAACCCTACCATAATCATATTCTTACTTTATTAACTCAACCCTTCTTTTTAATTCTTGTAATTGTTCCGAAACAAATGAAAGGTTTGATTTTCTCAGAAACCAATTGGAATTAAGTAGTTAAATTAACCAAGAAACTTAGAGATAAGCTTGATATTCTTAAATAAACATGAGAAAGAACACTTCTTGCTGCATAAATTCGAGTACTCTGTTTTTAATCCTTTCTTCATTTCGTTTTTCTGTTGCCCTCACTTTGATCGTTGTGATTTTTTAAGCTTCAGTTGTAGTTGTAATGGCTTACATTCCTCCGCACAAGCGGCATTCAAAGGAACCAGAGAGGCCACTGCCGACTCCAGAGCTGCTTGCTCCTCAATTCAAGAAAAACTTCAAAGTCAAGCCATATAATAAGTCTAAAGTGGAATGGACTGGAAAAATAGTTTATGCAGACCATTCTACATCAAGATGGCTGACCATTGGTTTGGATGAGGAGAACCCATTTCCGCCTTTTGTTAATCTTAAGCCCATTTGCTTGGAGTCCACTGAGCCGAAAGTTGGAGAAAACCGTCTAGCTTTAATCAATACTAGTCTAGATAATGGTTAGTACTCTAACATTTCTTTTAGTGCGTTTATCTTGTATGTTGTTACTTGGGTTGTGGATGTGTTTGGTTTTGTTTTTCATGGTTGATACGTGACAGAAGGCAGTGAGGTGAAATGGAATTTGCCAAGAAGCCCTGGGGAATCTCTAACAGAAAATGTGCTGGAAGACTTAGTTTCTTCTTTTAAACACGTGAGGAATGAAATGAAGTGCGCAAAACTTAAAGAAGTAAATCCTACTTTGATTGCCAGAGTGGGGAAAGTACTCTTTCGCAGGTTAGATTTCTGTATTATCTGATTCATTGGTTAGCTATTGAGCCTATTGTGCCATTCATTTAATTGATTGTTTCATGTGATTATCCTTTTTACCTTTATGTTGTTCTTTCATCCGCCTCAGAATACTGGTTGTAGTAGAACAAATAGTCTATACTATGATAAAGGGTTACATTTGGCATTTTAGCTTTAGGAGGTAGGATGCCGAGTTGGACGGTGAAGCAATTCTATAACTCTGCCCTTGGTTTTCGATACTTAATACAGTTATATTTTGGCATCGATGCTCAATCACTGTTCTCATATTTCACATCAGTTTTGTAACAACAGAAAAGAATTTTGTACTACTCCTTAGTTGTAATGAGCAGATGAAAGACAGTTTTTTGTTGAAATCTTTGTATCAGGAGCCCGTCAGTTAACATGGAATCTATCACGAAAAATTTGTCTGCTGAAACCTTGAAACAGTTGAGGAAATCATTTCACACAAACATCCCTGTTTCATATAAGGAAAAGATTGTAAAGGAGGTTGTCCCGAAAGTTGGAGTTGATTTCGAAGAGGAGAAAGACGTATACCAAGTAAAGGTATTTCTTTTAGACATGTCAACTTACTGAGTTCTTAGTTCATGTTTTCCACAATTCTGACTTTAGCCATTGAATTGCTCATTTATATTCTTCTTGTATAGTTGTCTGATTCTACGAGGCCAGATTCAACTCTCTCCTGCAAGTGTCGTGTAATGAAAGAACATGGAATGCTACAACTCTACAAGGCAAGTTTTCCAATTCATGCCAACTAAATTTGATGAAACCAATATGTTGCGTCAATATCACGATTGAGTTGCCACGATATTGATTAGATAATTTAGATAAAAAAAAAGGTATGCTGCAAAATATGAGCGTAGTATAAGATAACTAAATGTTCAACCACTGAATGTGATTAAGCTCTCCGATTTTTGGAATAATTGGTGAGGAGGACTGAGGAGCATTTCCAAGTCATTAATGTTTTCCGGACTCTTCTCTGTTGCTTGGCGTAGAGTTTGTCTACTAAGACTTACATTGCAATACCAACTTTATTTTAGATTGAACTGAATCAACTGCGCAACATGGTCGTGGACATTTCATGCACTACTAAGAATCTGGACCTGAGACTAATGCTATGCACGAAGAGACTCATAACAGATCTGACTGTAAGCTGCTTCACACTGTCCCTTATAAATTTACGTTTCTATTCCTTCTTTCAGAAAAGCAATTATTTATTACCTATTTATCATGGAACCACAATCAAAACAAACAATAGGATACTTTCTGCAAATGTAACTGGACGATGAGGTTTAACCATATTGGATGCACACCTGAACTTATGCAGCTTGGATTGAGGTTCTGTGATCATCTGAATTGTTGCTATTTCAGGATGATGATATGCAAAGCATTAGGGATCTGATTAGTTTGGCGATTCTAGATCCTGATGTGAAGGGTGGGTTGAGATGGCCTCTGGGAAAGGAGTCTTCTGGAGATAAATACAAAGTTGTTGGGGTTTGGCACGTGATAGCTAATACGTATAAAAATTCATCGCTAAGACTGAAAGTGAGACATGCTGATCGATTTGATTTTAGAACCTTAACTGGAGAAGCTACTTGGGAGACAAGTCTGATGTTGAAAAAGGTCCTGTCAAAGTTACAGGTAAACGCTGCCTTTTCTCTGGGACAATTTTTTTCATGTGCTGAAATAGAAGATTTATTTCAGAAGGTTTATCGTGTGCTGAAATCTCCTTTTCTTTCAATTTTCAGGAAGAGAATGTTGAAGCCAGCTCAATTTCGGAGATACTGAAGGAAGATATGCAGTTGATATGGGATAACTTCTTGAGCTGTGAACATTTTCTAACATGAAATTGCAAGTTGTAAATCAGTGATCACTGTCTATGCGACGTGTACTTATCTGTGTATATCTTGAGTTTTATGTCTCAACATTCGACACATTTGATGAATAATATGCAACTGTTTTAACAATTCTTGCAATTCTGTTTGTATCTCGCGTTGTTGATATAGTTAATGAAATTTTTGCGATTCGATGACTTCATTGCCGGTAAATGCTTCGGCTCAGATGCTTTCTTACAACACAAGATAGAAAAATTCTGGAATTGCAGACAACCAAGTCATCACATATCCACTGCAAATAAAACCATTGCATGTACACAGCAAGGCTTTATTCCTAAAGTTGTTACCATCTACTGTTTATATATGAATTATACACTATGCGTGAACAGCAAATTAAGGCTCGATTTATATCAAATCTTCAAACTTGAGCTTAAACTGTGGGAACTATACGTGTTCATCGTTTGCTTCGTAGACATACGTAATCTGATTTAGTTTATCTGATCTTGGATATTCGCTCACGCTGCGCACCAACTTTGGACGATTGGTCGAGCTCAACTTCTTCATCTCCTGAGTACTCCTTTTCTCTTCGACATTGTTTCCTGAATTCTTGTATGTCATGTATAGGATCATTTGGGCAATGCCAAATAGAAACCCTAATACGTTTGGTAACTGCTCTCACCCGATAACCATTCGTGTCAGATTTCGACAATTAAGGGTTAGGTAGCCTGAAAATTCCAAGAATTGAAATTGGAAATTGGTACTTACTGCAATGTAGTAATCCTTTGTAAATAATCCGTAGAAGAACCACATGGTGGCACAAAGTGTCAGGAAAAAGGACAAAGAAAATGGCATGAATTCCACACTTTTGGTTCTTATTACTTGCCTCTGCAGGAATGTAAATCCATGTGAAATGACAGTGATTGCCGTAATTCTAGATTTAAAGAAAAATAAAGATTAATTAATTAACTAGTTAATAAGTACCATAATGCTTAGAGGAGCAGCAAATACAGCAATGTTAAACACGGCACAAATCCATCCAACGGTGCTTATGCGCACTGTCCCTCCAAGAAGGAAGAAGGTGACTGCCACCACCAACCCTAAAGCGGCTACATTTACTAGCAGGATCCAAATCAATGTAGTAATCTGCGAGCCATGATCAAAGTATAAGCATATATCCAAATTAACAAGCATACATATCTGTTTTCTTCAGTACTTCCTGACAAAACATAAAACAAAAAAAGAGCCATGCATAATGTGTGTCTGACCTTGTCATTCTTGGATGCATATACAATATAGAGGATCAGGTAAGTAACTTCTATAACGGTTCCGATGCTGTTGATGCTGATGATCAAATAAGCATTTGTCTTGAGGGCTCCATAATACAACAATAAAGTTGCACTTAGTAGGGCAATCACATAAGGTATGGATTGAAACCCTTTCGATGATTTCTTCTTGTATATTGTGTAAAACGTTGGTCTGCACAGAGAGAGAGAGAGAGAGAGAGAGAGAGAGAGAGAGAGAGAGAGAGCGAGAGAGAGAGTGTGTGTTAGGGTAATGCAACTTATTCATAAAGATGTGAATTAGGGATAGGGACATTTAAGTACGTAGTGAATTAATTATTTCATGTTAAGGGGGTCTTACATTGGCGCCAAGAACGTCATGAATGACACAATGTTACCTGAGAAACGATGAAAATAATCTCAGGTTATGTCAAAATCAGATAACATGATGAACAATATCGTAAAACAACTTGAAAATTTTAGATGTTTTAAAGAACTTTTTTAGAAGAATGAAGTATGAGTGAGTATTTTAACTAATTACCTCCTCAATTATATATAATCATGTGAACGGAAGAGAAAGAAAACTGATATATACAGTTATATACATATTTTACAAACCTAAGAGACCGAATATGAAAGCCAGTTGTTCAGTATTCAAGAACTGCATCATGAGCTGATGACTGGAGAATATGTTTTCTTTGTGGTGATTTTTTTTTTTTTTTTTTTTTTGTGAAGCTTTTTTCTTCACCTTTGCTTGCAGTAGTTAATTCGATACTGCAAAAAGCTTAAGGATTCCATTTCTGAGGTACCCTTTTATACTGAAATTAAAAAGTTAGGCAACTCATCAATTACGTGACTAACTGAGCCTGAAATGAAACTTCCATCCTCGTTCACACCCTATATACCATGATAATATTAATTTACTATATATGTGACTGCAGCAGCTAACTGGAAATCCTAAACCACATGGCATCCATGAGCTGCCCAGTTATTATTGTGCTACGTAGATTAATCCAAGCGTTGAGTTTCATGATCGTGATGTCCCATCGTGTCCACCATCCATCAAGGTTTTGTTTACAGAGTTATCCTATTCAATGGCTTAGTACTTTTGGAAAAATGGCTGAGTACTCATGCATGTGGAAATGAAAATACTCACCCCTCCCGTATAGTTTAACTTTTTGCTACCCAAACATGTAATTAGAAGTAACACTACTCAATATAATTTATAATTTATTTTGTCAAGTATTAGATGTGTGACTCGTTTACATTTTTCAATAATTAAATTTACAGAAATTAAATATCATCTTAATTCCGTTGTTGCTCGATTTTTTATGTTCTTTTTGTCATTATGTTGAGTTTAAATAAACCTTATCATTTTGTAATCCATTCCTGCTTGCGCAATAACACTTTAATTAGACAAAAAAAAACACAGAATATTAATATATTAAAACACAATGGCTAGATTGGTTAAATAAAAAATTTCAACCAAGTTATTAACATTTTGTCCACAAGGCACAGAATGTGTTCTAATATCACCATTGTTTCTAAAATTATATTTCAATATCTTTATATTTTAATGATTAGGGAAGTGTGATCTGCCATTCTGGAATACAAACTTTTTAATTGTGAATCTATACAATTTAAAGCTAGGAGAATTCTCGTCAGATTTTTTATTTCAATCATATTTGTTCATCGTATATCGTGTGATAAAAAATTATTATAATGTTTTTATTTAAAATTGAATATAAACAATATCTGATAAAAACTGACTGCACAATATACGATTAACAAATGTGATTAGAAGATCATTAGAATTCTCAAAAAGAGAATCCCACAAGTATCCTCTCTCAATATAAGATACTCCATTTATCGAAGGTTCCCTGCTTCTGCATCTGCTTACTAAAGTTAGGAACTTTAGGATGGTTACACGAGATGGGAACATGTCCCAATTTGTACGCAAATATTGGATACTAGCTAGCTAGCTAGAAAGTACCTATCTATGATGTGACAACTAAAGAGACGTTACCGGCAATGTAAAGCAAAACCCTAATTTTAACGGATCAGGATCTTTCCTGATTAAAGGCTAAGGATCCTTCTAATCAAGTGCATCAGGTCATTGAAATTTTATCTAATGACTACAATTATTATAATTTTTAAAGAAACCCCTTATTTGTAGTCATTAGATAAAATTTCAACGGCCCAATAAACTTGATCAATAAGATCCTTACGCTTTACTCAGTAGAGGATCTTGATCCAATTTTAACAATCGACTAACAACGGAAAGTAGAATATTTTTGTGGTTGCAGAAAGGTAAAAGTATTTGGCTGGTTTGGTAAGATTGGAATCATTGGATTGTACATGAATTACTCATCTTTCTTGATTGGTTGGTTGTTTTTAAGCTTAAAATGATTCATGAAATTAACGTACTCTTTACTTTAATATGTGATAATAAAAAACGGTATAAGTGATTTATGAATTTTTTCATCATAAATTATTTTGGTCATTTAGTAAAAAAAATTTGTCAATATTCTTGTTATATGAAAGGATTGGTTTGACAAAATACCATTAAAAATTGATCACATGATTGTTCAAGTGACAATTTAATGAGTATATTGATATATTTTTCACAGAATAACCAAAATGATTTATGATGAACAAACTTATAGATCACTTATATCGATTTTTATTGTTAAAAATCAAAATGAAGAGTTATGTCAATCTCAGAGACCATTTTAACTAAAATAATAATATAATTATCATCCGAATGCGAGGTGTTGATGGAACGGTTCGAGATTAGACAAGAGAAATGCCGTTAAATGACATCGCAAATTAGGTCAAAAGTCGAACTTTGTACTTATAGTTTACCGTAAATGTTAATTTAGGTTCTGTAGTTTCCATTTTGTTAACTTTATCCATGTGGTTCACTTAATTGATTGGAATTAAGAACACCAATTCGGATTTTTTTTTTTGTTACAACACTTTCACTACAAAAGTAAACCAGAAATTTCCCTACTTTTTAAAAAACATGTTATAAGGCTTAAACATGTATTCTTCTTAGAATTATAATAACCCTATATATATATATATATAGAAAAAGGACAATATTAAAAAGAGAAGCCCCTAGGGTAACCAGTTTGGGTACAATAAAAAAGAAACGCCTGACGAGCTTCCACAGGAAGAGATTTATCCCAAACATGGAAGTCAACAACCGAAACACCCACTCTAGTAATAGCGTCCGTTAGAAAATTTGTTTCCCTAAAGACATGTTTCTAGCAAATCTCCAAGAATGACTCAACCAGCCAGCGAATGTCTTCAAGAATGGTCCTCAATCTCCAAGGAGGGTTATAGTTGCCTCTAATAGCCTCAATCACCAATTTTGAATCACTCTCCACCATGATATGGGACAATCCTTTGGCCTTAGCCAACCAAAGACCATCACGCAAAGCAAGGCACTTCGTAACATAAATCATGTTTTGGCCAATAAACCTAGTCCCTGCAGCAATAGGTTCACCCGTCTCATTTCTAATCATAAAACTGGAAGTTGCGCCTTGGTTCACCACAGAGCCGTCGAAGTTGAGTTTAACAAAACCCACATCAGGAGGATGCCACCGGATAGAAGAACACTAGGATGGGTTGCTACCACTTTTACTCATGGGACTTACACTATTAGCATCAATAAATTCCTTTCCAAGATTAAGAGCAGACTTAACAATCCAAGAATGGTTTGGAACTTTATTCTGAAATGCCACCAGATTTCTTTCCTTCCAGATTTGCCAGCAAATGAACAAAACTTTACCAAGGTCACACAAACCTGCATCAACCTTAACTGTAAGATCATTAAGCCATTCATTAAAATGAAGAGTTTGGTTTAATCTTATGGAATTAGGTATGGCTTGACAATTCTAGATTAGTCTTGCAAAGTTACAATTCAAGAATAAATGAGCTCTATTCTCTTCCTCGGCATTGCACATAGGGTAGATGGATGGAATATTGTTGACAAACCTAGATAATCTATCTCTTGTATGCAATCTTCCTAAAATTAGCAGGCAACTAAACATCTTAACTTTATGAGGGAGCTTAAGCTTCCACATTTTTATGAGAAGCTCACTAACATTATTATTATTAGTATTCCTATTTTGGATCCAAGTTGCCGACTTAACAGAGAAATTACCACTCGCATTGGGACCCCAACAAAACATATCATCATGAGGAGTTAAGGGGAGAGGAATGTTGTAATAAGGCTCACCACGGGAGTTTAATTAACAGCTTTTTCATCACAATGGTGACATTGAAAGTGGTGTGTCATCACAAGGACCACAAAAAAAAATTAGCCTTAAAGTTAAGAGAACATTGCTACATTTTCCCAGTTAGTCCTCCATATTTGCTATTTTGATTCAACCTCACATGCGTAACACATGACTCATTTTAACGGAAGCTCTAATGGAGTTAACAAAAAAACCATAGCTGCACATTTTAGTGAGTTAAGGGGCAAGAGTCATGAATTTTTAATTAAAAAGATCATTGCTATACTTGAGTTAAAAGTTAAAGAATTATTGCTACAATTTCCTCTAAACGTATCGTAGTCAAGTTCCAAAAAGATAAACCACAAAGATAAACTAACAGAAATGAAACTACAGTACTTAAATAACAATTACCATAATTAATTAATGGCCGTCCATGATACCTTTTCTTAGAAGCAACATTGAATACACCAAGATGATCCCTCTGTCCATTTTCCATTTAAACACTGAGACGGCTCTTACAACACTTTCTATATATAACTGGGCAGTTTGCCCTGAATCTTTCTGTCATTTGGTCACTTAGCGTGGAATTCTAAGCACCACACACACTCATCATCTACGTACTAACTAGGTTTTATCCAAAATGAGGATTAATATTCACGCTGCCATAATATTTGATCGACCCAATGGGGCAAACTTGCCAGATATTTGTAATGCACATTCTTATGATAAACTTTATAGGTTTATGCAGTGGCGGATCTAGAATTCTAACTTCTGATGATCCTAATTAAGGGATGTTAAGCACTAGTCCGGAGGCGGGTTGGGGCGCCCATGTGCCTAGACGGGATCTAGGCAAAAGCCTAAGTGGGCTAGACAGATTTAAGTAAACTTAATATATATCATACAAGTTAGTAAATGCCTATTTACACTTACAAAAAAATATGTACTTGTATTGAGAATTTGAGGTTTATTATTCAACATATAACATACAAAAATATCAAAATTTTTGTTTTAGTATTTTAGTGAATTTGATGTTATGAGATGAAAGTGCAAGCGACTACGAGTTCATAGTATTTTACGAAATACTTTTCAGATGTCGTAAGAATTTATAGGGAATTTTTGAAAAGTAACGGTGTGAAACATATGATATAAAAATATTGGTTGAGTAATACACCATCCGTTTGCTAATTACAATGCTAGGGTTGAACAACATAATTGGACAACAATTAAAAAAAAAAAGAGTTGGTCAGGTGGGAAATGGAGAGAAAAAGTCTTTCTTCTTCGTTGTAACCAAGGTCTAAGAACAACAGAGCCATGGTGATTTTCTTTCTTCCGCCACATGTACACATTGTTGGGTGGTCCTTAGAGGTTCTCACAGACGCTTCTTCAGATGTTCGGGTGTTCCTAGACCACCTAGGTCTAAGAGTGAATCCACCTTTGGGTCCATGCAAGGTCCACCACCAATATCACTGATTGTCTTAAGTTAACCACCTATTACTAGATGTTGGGTTTTATCACAAAAGGTCTTAGTAATATTAGGGGTGGAGACTCTCTTATATTAATTGTATATCATTTTTGTCATAGGACCAATGCGGGATCCTATTCTCTAACATGCTCCCTCAGGAGATGACAAGGGAAACCATTTCCGACATCGAGAACTAGTCAAATTATTATACTGGAGCTAACACAACTTTTTGAGAGTCGGGTCATCATTTAGGGACTAGAGCTAATGCAACTTTTTGAGAGTCGGGTTATCATTTAGGCTCAATGGTCCATTCATTCAATATCCCTAAGCTAGAAGTAGCGTAACTTTTGAAAGGTCAACTTAAGGAGGCAAATTCAAACCCAATCAATCGAGCCCATGACGTGTCGAAAGAATAGTTTGCTCTAATACCATGATAAGCTTTATAGCCCCATGCAAGTCCACCACAAATATCACTGATATTGTCTTAATTTAACCACTTATTATTAGATGTTAGGTTTTATCACAAAAAACCTTGATAATATTAGAAGTGGAAACTCGTATATATTATTTTTATATTATTTTTTTATATAACAAGAATTATCTAACATGCTAAACTTTCAATTTCGACCACACATTAAAACAAGAATTATCGCATCGAGAAAATGGTTCGTATTCACATTCCAATCACAAGACGAGATGATGTAAGTACAACTTTTCTGGTCAGAATTAAATCCCCTTGAAAGTTTCCTTGTTCGGTTTCCTTGTTTTCTTATGATGTGGTCCAATTGTTTTAAAATATAGCTCATATGCTGTCAAAGTTCAAGGAGTTCTCTGTGACCAGCTTGGAAATCTTTCTTCTTTTAATTTGTGAAAAGGCATTATATATATCTTTCTCGTTTATGACAAGGAATGAGGATAAAGAGATATAAATATGCACACATCACAATGATTTGTAGGTACATAGCGGAAACTACTAAGCAAGAGGCAGTGGTACACCTTAGATTATATTAATTACATCGTTATTTCTTATTAATTAAAAGAAATATGCGTAAATAGAAACTTTTTACAAACTTTTAATATTAAGGAACTAAAGGGACATTAAACAAAAACTAAACAGTATATGAACCATGGTTTAAAGTCCTCCAGTTCTATTTGTACATATTTTCCGATAACTAAACACCAAACAAACGCGGTCAAAGACCCAAAATTAACTCCAATCTTACTCTTCAGGAATAAGACCTACACACAACAGCCAAAAACTTTTTAGATCATAATTGCAAGTCAGACTGAAAACACATCGGAAGACATAGACAGTGGTGTTGCTGATGAACTTATCCCTTTATTCCTTGCCTTCTGCACTCAGAGAAAAGAGGAAAACTGGTCACCAATACAGCACATGTATATATGTGTACCAATGAGCTATAAATTTTGAGGGGCCTAACCATGTCAGCAAGAGTGTTCTTCCAAGCCTTGTCCATCTCTTCGAAAACAAGATCGATCGTAGGGCGGCCTTTGCTTGATTTGGCAACGCAAAGTACTGCAACTTGAAGGATCGATTCAAAGTCCGCCTTGTTCACATTTCCATTCAGTCTTGGGTCCTCAAGATCCTCAGGAGGGCGTTTGTTCATACTTATATCCTTTGCCTGAAAAAAAATTAACTAGAATTGTCAATCTATCTTCTCTTTCTCTAGCTCTCGTCGCTAATAAACTGGTGTATATACCTTTCTTGTTAGTTGGTCTCTAGCATCAAGATCCAGCTCAAATACTTTTTGCCCCGATAGCAGTTGCAGGGCAACAATGCCGAAACTGTAGACATCACTCGCGCAGGTTAACTTGGCATTGGTCATGTACTCTGGATCCATGTAGCCTATGGTTCCTCTAACATCTGTAAATACTTTGCTCTCCTCCATACCCAACATTTTTGCCAGCCCGAAATCAGATAGCTTGGGTTCCAAGTTATCCGTCAAAAGGATGTTTGTAAGCTACAAATTCAGCAAACAAGCATCAACATCAATATACTCAAGAAAAATTAATTGGAGAATCATATCAAAGTTAAAGGAAATGATTTCCGCACATTACTTTTCTCCTTTTGCATACCTTCCTTTTTTTTGTTATCCTGGTCTTTGAATAAATCAAATGAAAATTAAGAGACATAAATAAAGAGAGATGTGCCAAAGAGGACAAAGGGTGTGCAGGAATCCGTTCTCCATATTTAATTATTACCTTAATATCTCTATGAACAATGCATCCATCAATATAATGGTGGAGATATCTCAAAGCAAGTGCACAATCTCTTAGAATCCTAACTCTTCTTTCCCATGTTAAGACAGGATCGTTTCCTGATCGCAATAAATGAAATTATTTTTGTGATCCTTAAAGAAAAAGAATTTCCAAGATGATTAACTTATTAAATATGTTCTAGAAATCGATAAGAATCAGAGGAATTACTTAGGAGGTGTTTAGCTAGATTCCCTTTAGCGCAATATTCATACACAAGATATTGTTCGCCATCTTCGACGCAGCAACCAAAGAGGCAAACCAAGTTTGGATGTCGAACCCTCGAAAGGCCTTCCACTTCTCTAGTAAATGAATCGGATGTGTTGCTCTTGTTAATGTGCTTAATGGCCACCACTTGCCCGCTCGGAAGAACCCCTTTATAAACTTGACCAGCGCTTCCTCGTCCAAGGTCCTTTCTTTCAGTATTAATGGCATTCTCAATCTCGGCCTTGGAGAACCTGTACAGGCCAGACCATGTAGTAATCGGTCCCGAGCGAACTGGTTTTTGAGGCTGCTTCTTGGTCACAAATTTTATCAGCAGGATGATCAGTGTCACAGCGGTGATGCCTATTAAGATGGAAAGTATCGCTTCTGCCAAAGAATCTGATAGATTAAATGATTAATTTCTTTGAGGAAACATGAACTTTTGGTTGTCAATTTTCTCAAATAGAGTAGAATGAAATAGTACTTTAGCTGTACTTACATTTGATTTTGATGTAGCCTGGTTCTGCAATGGATCGAAAGCGAAAACACAAGAAACAGAAAATTAATTAAGCAGATAGAATCATAAAAACACTTGAGTAAATTGGAAGTTAATTGAGCAAGCATGAGGCATTGAAGTAGTTTTCATACCGAAGGTGTCTAAAAAAGACATACACAACATAAAGTCATTGTCGATTGAAAAGGTATTGTTCATCTTCTCTTCTAAAACAGAAATAACAGCTGCTATACCACATATGCCCGTCTCAGTTGCGTTCCCATCCTTCACTTCATATGCATTCAGCAAATCGTCCCTCAAGCCTAATACCGCCTTGCTGCAATTGCCGCAAACATCCTCAAACGCATTGCTAAGGTTTGAGCAATTACTTATCGCGTTTTGGAAGGCCTGCTCTTTCTTGATGGATGCAAGAGTTGTGTTCGAGCACGCGCTGCTACCATAGTAAAGGCCATCAAAATGACAGTTTTTTGCAGACACGCCTCGCTCCTTCTGAAAAGGGCCGCTGCAGTTTTTCCATTCTTGTTCTGGAAGAAAGACACTGGCACTGCCCTGAGTCTTGACTGCGTGAATGGCTAAGGCTTCGGACATGGTGGTGAGGACTTTTTGGCAGCACGGGCTTGTGGTGTAGCTTCCCCAAACGTTTATTTTATGTCCTACGTGAGAGAGGCACTCCCCAGTTGGTTGGAATGGAATGGATGTGAAGTTTAACACACAGCCTCCTGCAAGAAGTCATGCATATATGAAATCTTATAAGCATTTGTGTTCCAAATTTTTGCATCTATAATTCAAACAATCATAAATCCTCCTAGCTAGACACAAGGGCCGCAAAGTAGTAGATAACCATCTAGTGTTAAATAAATATTAATTGGCTCTTTGCATGTAAAGAGTTGTTTCTCATTACTCAATGAAATCAGTCTAACGACACAAAAAGAAAAATGATTGCATGTAAGGAGCTAAGCAATTTCCATTTCAATGACATATATATTTCGATTTATTTATCTGGCTATCAGTCATTAAATCATTACCCCAGTTCATGTTACATGTCATTAATTAAAAAATGTTGGCCAGCAAAAGGGAAAGAAAAAACAAACTAAAATTTAATAAACTAGAAGACACTAATTTACCAAAAATAAGCACACGATCCTTTGGTTTAATGGAACCAAGTCTCTCCTTTGTTGGAGGAGCTACGAGTTCAACTCTCACGACAGTTATTTAAAAATAATGAAATAAATAAATATTTACTAAAGTAAAAAATAAAAGGACCTGAGTGATCATCTGGTGAAGATAAATCATCTGCAAAAGTTAAAATAAAATAAGCGAAAACGTGTAAGATGGTAAGCTTGTAAGAAAAGTTTCTTGCTGTCATATTAATTTTTTACAAGCCCTACACCAATCCCACGAGGAATTAAGCAAAGAAAATTATGTTTTGTGAAAGATTTACAATGTAGCCGAAAGTTTTCCAAGGCAAGAGTGGAACTGAATACTTATAGAAACCCTAGCCTTCCTCGTCCACGTCGAAAAACGAATAGGGATATTCTTTGTTTCTGCTAGTTTTGGTTCTGAGACAGCCAGCTGCTCATACAACCTTGAAATTTCCGGTGGCTTTGATCATGTACATAAACCATAATTAAGGGATTTTAATTAAGTCGTAATTAAAATAACATCCACTTGTGAACTGGCTCCAAATGCATATGCTTATTAAAATGTTGAACCAATCATCTAATCTTCATTCACATCGCCACATATATATGTACCTGTACAAAACTACAAACTAATATCTTTTTTTACAACATCATCTTATTTTATAACAAAATCTTATCTGTTATTTGGCATTTTTTTGGTGCTTATTATGTCTAATAAATCCCCTACAGTGTGAAAATACTAATTTTTGGACAATAGCGATATTTTACACTTAATTCATCTTAACTACAGAAGAGATATTTTATCCTAAATTTATCTAAACTACATAAGGAGAATTCAAATTTGAGTGTAAAAGGGAATCATAGTACTCTAACCAATTTAGCTAAACTTGATTACTAGATATGATACTATTTTTTTAACACAAGCGATATGTTACAACTACAAAAAGAGTATTCAAACTTAAGTGTAAAGGAGAAACACAATTCTCTAACTTTTGTTTATTCTCGGACATGTCTTGCCCTCAAATTGACCGGTACAGTGACAATTAGTTTGGCTAAGTTGGCCATTTATGTTTTGTTAAAGTTTTTTTTGAATTGAGGACCTCTTGAATGTTACCTCGAATGTCTCTTTAACATTTGTTTCAAGTCTTAATATTATAATAAAGTTGCTATCATTTAGTCTATTCTTCTTTAAACAAATCTATTTTTCTTTCTTCATAGTCCAATTTCTAAGATGTACACTAAGAAATTATAAAAGGGACATAATGGATGATTTCCATACATTATTAAATTAATTACTTAAACCATCTGCGCTTCTCTAGATTTCTCTCCATAATCCTCTTCTTCATCGCCCTCTCATGATTCTTGAAAGGCTCCATCTTTATTTGTTTTCGATAAAATGTAATAACATATGGGCCAATGATAATCATGGGCCTTGGTTCCCATACTATGGAGCATAATCATGAGCCTTGGTTATTTCATTGTAAATGTTTGGGTTCGATTTTGAGAGGTTTACAAACACTTTTTTCGACTGCATTTGGGAAAATAATAATTTAGAGGTCGTAGAAACATTTTTTGGAAAAGCACATCCCAAACGATAGCTGATCTTCTTTTTGTTTTCTTCAACTTTCTAATTTTTTTTCCTTAATACGAAAATAAAATCTCTTCGATTCAGAATTCTTGAGCAGCTCTATACTACAAAACTTTTGCGGCGATTAAATTGAGACAATTATTTGAGTTAATATAATCTTTTGGAGTTAATATCTCTTTTTGTTTGCATTTGGTCCAATATCTTAGTAGATAGAGAGCTGAGTTCCCACTCATACGTCCCGATTTTGAAACTCTCATCTCTCTTGAATTATTGTAATAATTACGAACTCTTCCTCCCTTGATAATAATATATATATATATTTTTTTAAACCGTTCTGCCAAATAGATATTTTGTATTGAGAGTTAAGGATTGTATACAAAATAGAGTATATTATAAAATTCATAAAAAATAGATAATTAAAAAAAATGAAAACAAAAAACAAAAGCCACTTGGAAAATGGAATACGTTACAGCCCTGGTTTCCACACGTTGGGCCACTCTTATCCGCCCAACCCAACTAAAATTTGGCGCCCTGTTCTCTTCTATTCTTCTCTTTCTCAATTTTGCTTAGTTGTCGACCGTCTGCACCTACTTTACTGCAAAGCAGATAAATAAGCTAGCGGCTGCCAATTACCATGCCCATCATCTTCTCCACCAATACACCACAAGGTACTCTCTCTCTCTCTCTCTCTCTCTATATTATTTGTGTTCATTTTTTGCAAGATTAATTCATTAAAGCTACTTAGAATTATACATTGTATAAATTCCATACCAATTGTATTAGCTAAGTTCTACCAAACCTTTTTTTTTTTTTTCCTGTTTCTTCGGGTATTTTAGAAATTCAGCTAAAATTCAGCTTTTAGGTAGTGCAAAATTTCAGCTTTTGGGTAGTGAAAAAAGATCAGATTTTGGGTCTCCGTGCAATCTTCATGTAGTTTTAATGGAACTCCCTGGGCAGCCAAGTCTCTTACTTTTCATCTTGCGTCTTTCTAGTGTTTTAAATTTGTAGAGCTTGAGTAGTTAATTGATCGTGTTTTTGTAGTGCATTTTCAAAAATTTAGTCTGGAGTTCCTTAGAACTTTGTATAAAGTCCCTCGTCCAAACTAGAAATTCAAAATTCGAATTGCCTTTGTAGTCTTGAGAGTGGATACCGAATTGAACTGCGGTAAATCTCTGTTTTCGTTTATAATCTGAGGTTGAATAAAATTTATCACAAGAATTAGGCCAAATAAATGTATGAGGGCATTTAACTTCTGTGAAGGAGTAGCTGTCATAACATTTTTGAAGGGAATGGATTTCTGATTATTTACATTCCGGGGAAAGGGGAAAAATACCTCTGATATAATAAACTGTGTGCAGGCCAGAATTCGAAGTAAAATATTCTGAAGCATGGCGTTCGCTGGACGTTCGGTCTTCCTGTCCCATAAAGATAGTATAGGAAATGCTTGTATTAGGTTGGGACTTAAAAGTGATGAAAGGCTTCAGAAGGGAAGGATGGTTGGTTTTCATGTGGTTGTGAAATTTTCCACCCAGAGAAGAAAATCAAGATACTGCCAATTCATTAGTGCTAAAAGAAACTTTTCTGGTTTGGGTTCAAAGCGTTCTTCACTGCTCTCTAGCAGGACGGAGGAGGCTTTCTCAGAACAAAGCACGAAAACTAGTGAGCCCGAGGTAACTCGTGCAATATATCTGCAGTCTTGGTTTCTTTATGCAGAGTTGAGTGATGATTGACGTCTTTTTCTCTTTTTGCTTCCTCTTTGCAGATGGGACGCGCGATTGATTTGATGATTGAAGAAGTACTGAGTGTTATTAAAGAGTGGAGCCAGTTACATTTCATGAAAGTAGCTGGTTTACTGTTGTGCACTTTCATGGTCATCCCATCAGCCAATGCTGTCGATGCTCTCAAAACTTGTGCCTGCTTACTTAAGGAATGCAGGTAATTCATTCAAACAAGTTTGATCTTTTAGTCGTATCTTTAACATGATTTCTTCTGCGCTTCTTGTTTTCTATTATATATCCAGATTTTCTGTAGTTGAGTGTGTTATGCAGATCCGCCAGTCAAATTGTTTAGTTTGTTACTCAAAAGTCCATAAAATGGAATAAAGCTTAATTTTTTTTAATAAATGTTGGTTTAGGTTTTGGCTGATCATAAGACATAAGGAAACGGAAACAAGTGGATTTCTAAATTACATGTTCACTATGCATGTGTTATGGTTTTTCTCTTGGGTGGACACTGAAAAAGTTTAGCCTTTGTCCTTAATTGGATTACTGGAACACCTATTCATGTCAGGGTAGAACTTGCGAAGTGCATCGGAAACCCATCATGTGCTGCCAATATTGCTTGTTTGCAAACTTGCAATAATCGACCAGATGAGACTGAATGCCAGGCTAGTCTCTCTCTCTCTCTCAGTTTCAGCGGTGATAAAGTTTATACAGGAGAGAATTCTGGTGTCGTTAATTCTATTTATCTTCCTCATTTTTGCAGATTAAATGTGGTGACCTGTTTGAAAACAAAGTCGTAGATGAATTTAATGAATGTGCAGTGTCGCGAAAGAAGTGCGTACCTATGAAATCTGATGTGGGAGAATTTCCTATCCCAGATCCTGCTGCTCTTGTTAAAAGCTTTGATATGTCGAAGTTCAATGGAAAGTGGTTCATTACAAGTGGCTTGAATCCCACCTTCGATGTATTTGATTGCCAATTGCATGAATTCCATACAGAATCTAGCAAACTTGTAGGGAACTTGTCCTGGAGAATAAAAACCCCAGATGGTGGCTTTTTCACTCGATCAGCTGTGCAGAAATTCGTGCAAGACCCAAACCAGCCCGGCATTCTATACAATCACGACAATGAATATCTTCACTATCAAGATGACTGGTAATTCATGTCACGTCTATACCTTCTTATCTTGTTCCTGTTGGATTTCTCATGCTTCCATCCATTTATGTGGCGGTTTTGTTTCTCATTTGTTTTCTGCATAAACCCAAAAACCTTGTGAGAACACATGTATGACTTATGCAGGTATATTCTATCGTCTAAGATAGAAAACACACCGGAAGACTACATTTTTGTGTACTACCGTGGAAGAAATGACGCATGGGATGGATATGGTGGTGCTGTTGTATACACAAGGAGTTCAGTTTTGCCAGAAAGCATTGTTCCCGAACTTGAAAGAGCAGCTAAAAGTGTGGGAAGGGACTTCAGCAAGTTTATCCGAACAGACAATACTTGTGGACCTGAGCCTCCGCTCGTAGAGAGGTTGGAAAAGACAATTGAAGAAGGGGAAAGGACCATTATAGAGGAAGTTAAACAGATAGAAGGGGAAGTTGAAAAGGTTGAACAAACTGAGTTGACATTGTTTCAAAAGTTACTGGAAGGGTTTAACGTGCTTAAACAAGACGAGGAGAACTTCTTGAGAGGTCTTTCGAAAGAAGAGATGGATCTGCTGAGCGAGCTAAAAATGGAAGCTGGTGAAGTAGGAAAACTGTTTGGAAAAACTCTTCCGCTGAGGAAGCTAAGATAATTGAGTGCTATGAAACGGTCAGCTTCTTGCTTCTTGTTTATACTTTATACCATATTGTAATTTATTTATTTTTGCAGAATGTAAGCTGATATTACAGGTTATTCTTCTCTCGAGCTAGCTATATATGTTTCCAATTGGTTTTACTGGTTGGCAGAGTAAATTGTTCTAAAAGCTAATATACAAGACTATGTTGATCCATATATTCAACTTGGCAACTCCATACGTAAAACTCGTGAATGTAAGAGCGCGGAGGTAAGTTATAATCCTTTTCATGTCACCGCTCTGTGCAATCTACATTTGTTTCTCAATAATTGTAAAACCACTTAAAAACCCTTATAGTTTTTCTTTGATGCTCGCAAAATTAGTTTTTAGCCTTAATATTCTACTAAATATACATTTATTACTCAACAAATCATAAAATCACTTCCAAACGCCTAATAAATTTTTCCTTGATGCTCAAAGAAGATACTTGTAGAAAATTAAAAAAAAAATTGCAATAGTTACAAAAACATGGGTTTACACATAGTTTTTAGTCAGTTTTGTAAATTCGTATAAAAATCATCATTGAATCTATTTGTTTTCATCTTTGCGTCACCGTGAGGTTTTGAAAATTAATATAAAACTCTCCATTGATATTTGTGAGGATGGAACCCCCTTTTAGTACTGTTTTGAGCCTTACTACTATATTTTTCATATATATTTAGGTTTCAGTTTTAAATATTCTACTAAAGATACCCATAGGTAAATACATTAATTTCTTATCTGAAGCCAGCCATCATTAAGTAGGTTCTTTTGTTTGTTTCCGGTTTGTCTCTCTTAGTTTAAGGATATATGTCAATCAAGACGATACAGAAGTCTTCAAAATGAAGTATAATCGAAATCTTTATAAATAAATAAAAAAAGAAAAATAAATAAAGAGAGAAGCTAGCACATCATAAAATTCTTGGCCTCATGCGCCTTCTCCTTCTACCAAAGTACTTATGCATCTCAATAAGGACACCTTCGTAGCAATGCGTCTCGTTCGCTATCTTTGAAGGACAAAAGCCATGCATGGCTCGTCCATACAAAACAAAAAAAACAAAAAAAAAATCTCATGTTCATATGTATGTGCAAGTTAGAGACATTTTAGTAGTGATTGGATTGACATTTTTTCGATGTTTTAAAATCCTGCGATCCGTCGTTGTTTCTGTGTTGGTCTACAGAATCTTTTCCATCTTTCAGTACTGGTGGTAGTTGTGGTACTTTGCTGCTTCTGTTTTCCTGATCCTGATCATCTGTGCAAACACTTCCGGCTTCTGATGATTTTTCCTCGGTACTGCTATTGCCGCCTAATGTAACGGTAGCAGTCTCTTTTTGTGATGATTTTTTCTTTCTGCTAGTGGAAACGGTTTCTTCTGTTGACCCTCTGCTGCTGCTTCTAGAAGAAACACTTGCATATTTGGATTGACTGCTGCTCACTTGGTTTGAATTACCATCCAGATTATTACCACCCTTGCTGCTCTGGTCACTTGAATTAACACTGTCATTCCGTGATATCATGCTGCCCCTTGTAAATGAATGCCATTCTTTGGATTCTGTAACAGTTACGCGTTCATCTTCACTACCTTCACCTTCTGAAATGTCAACATTACGGCGGTTGCTCTTTGAATTTCTGATACTCTCCTGATCAGAAGCCTCCTGGTCTTCATCATCATAATCTCCTGCAGCATCAGAATTATCGTCTTCTGAATATTCGGAAACACATTCTGAATCATCATTGTTCTCTTCACGTTTTTCAGTTGGGGTTGGATCAGCTGGAAGAGGAGCAGGGACAGACTCAGGAGGAGGAGGAGTTGTGGAAAGAAAACTTAGAGTAGTCACAACGTCACTCATGAAGGGACGGACTGCTGCCTCCTCTTGCAAACACATGGATGCCATTGCAACAGCTTGATTTAGATCCCTTTCCGGGAACTGCTTGTTAAGAAGAGGATCTGCCATATCAGGATACTTTTTTGGGTCCCTGAATAAGGGTTGTGCCTGCTCACACACATGAAAGTGAGAACGAAGTTACACATGATGGTAATGGTGAACGAGAGTGAAAATCACTAGGTCAAGGGACAGAAACAAGGAGAGTGAAGAAGGAGAAACGGGAGAACCATTAGGTCAATTAAAGAGACGTATTAGATATGTGAAAATGATAAGATAATTACCCAAGATACTAGATTTTGCTCATCATTTGACCTTGTAGTGTCGACGGCTCTTCTTCCGGTAATGAGCTCCAGAAGAATAACTCCGAAACTGTACACATCCGACTTCATTGTGACTTCACCTGATCTAGAATACTCAGGAGCACAGAAACCATAGGTTCCCATCAATCTTGATGGTCCATGCATCTTATCTCCCTCAGGGCCAAGCTGGGCAAGTCCAACATCTGAGAGCTTTGGATTGAATTCTTCGTCTAACAAGATGTTCGAAGATTTCAAATCTCGATAGACAACAGAGGGATTGGCCTTTTCGTGCAAGTACTCCAGTCCCATAGCAGCACCATAAGCTATTTTAACTCGGGTGTACCAATCTAATGGCTTGTTATCTGGTCCATTGCCTGCACATAGTTTTGTTCATATCCAAGGTTAAGCAGCTGATAAAGGGGTTCTAAATCAAGAAACCAGTAGAAAAAGGGAGGGTTGCGCACGTACCAAGAACACGATCATCTAGAGAACCCCCGGATATGAATTCATACACCAAAAGTCTTTGATCTCCATCAGCACAATATCCAATTAGGTTAACCAGATTTGGATGGTGTAGGAGGCTTAGCGTCAAAACGTCCCCAAGAAATTCGTTCCCTTGCGTTCCATGTCTGTCTAGTTGCTTCACCGCCACCACCTATAACCAAGATTGGAAAACTCAGCCTCATAATTTCATTACTCATTAGCAAGTCTTCATTAAAACCAAATATGCAAGAGAAACTGAAAGTGTTTATAACCTGCCCGCTCGATTGAAGGGTTCCCTTATAGACTCTTCCAAATCCACCTTCCCCCAAAAGACATTCCTGCCGGAAATTCTTTGTTGCAGTGGCGAGCTCACGGAAAGTAAAAGTCTTTGCATTAATATCTTTTGGGTTAACTCCCCCGTTGGCCTCTGCAGGTTTTTGTTTCTTCAATTCTGCAGAAAAGCGATAGGGTTTTAGGCCCTTTCCAATACCTTTTGACAACATTGTCAATCATTGTTCTGCATTAGTTTCTACGTCTAGTGTATGACTGCCCTAAAAATATGGTCACGAGTCATGGAAAACCTCCTCTAAAACCTATTGAGAAACTTAAAAATTGTGAAGGCATTGTAATTTAGACATGCATTCATCTTTACGTGTAATATTTACGCAATTTCTGTTACGATCATACTTGATATTTTCAACCTTATACTTCACGTATACCTTTCATATGTATATGTCTTCATTTCATTGTTTCGAAATCATTTATAACCAAAGATCGAGAAAAATGAAAGAAAGAATAAAAACGAAGACTTACCTTGCGCGATAGGAGGAGGAGAGGAGGCATTCTCTAATCTCTTGTTGCTATTTGATCTCTTACTTCTCTGTGAACCGAAACACGGAAAGCAGCTCATGTCTTCCGACTAATCTTTGATATTCACAAACCTCCTTTCAACTTACAGAAGAACTTTGGCAAACGGTTGAATGCTTGCTAGATAATTCAGAATGTAGTTAAATATTACAACGCCAGTCTTTTTCCAGAAAATTAATCAAGTTAGCAAAAAGTTAAAAAGAAAAAAATGTAGGTCAAACTCAAAACTTGTTTGACAAGAAACAAACGAAGGCGCATAGAGGAGGAGGAGGAGGAGGAGGAGGAGGAGCGGATCAGGGTCCTCCGGGAGTATTGAAGGAGGAGGACCCCGGAGGTGGGGCGGGGTTAGCTAATTGCAGTTTGAAGGGGGAAAAAACCAAAAAAACTAACAACTTGGGAGAAGGAGAAATGGGAGGCAATGCATTTGCACGGTTTTGAGGGTTAGAAAATGAGAGATTTTTCGTTAGACTTCTCTCAGAAAAAGGTGGAGATGTGAGGGGATGTGTCTGGCCTTTTAAACCTATGGAGAGAAAAATGTGGGAATTTTATTGAATTTTAGTTAAAAGACAGGCTACAGATGGAGGGTTTACAGCCCAGGAATTTTTGTCAGAGTTATTTTAAGGACAGTAATCATTTATTGGGTTAAGTTCACTTAACTATCCAACCTTTTGGGATAGTTTTAAATTTGTCTTAATATTTAAAACATTTCAAACAGCTGCATAAAGTTTTAAAAATTGAATATTCGTTAGGCCACTACGTTAAGTGATGTCCTTAACAAGTATTGAAGCAAGATTTCACTCTCATGTCACTTGTACAAATCTAAATCCCGATACTGATTTCTTTTAACTAGACAAAGCATTTAACTTGGTTAAATGACATGGAAGTTGATGATTGGATTATTACTTAAACGTTAATAAACGTACTTATTCTTATTGGTGACACATTATTTAGTTTGTAAATTTTATTTTCAAATTTAATCTCTATAACATTATATATTTTTCAAGGACAAGGATTGTCTGCCCTCCCTGGTGCCCTCTCGTGCCCTCCTGTTTGTGTGGTCACGGTTAAGCCACGTCAACATTTTATATTACTATTCATTTTTGTCTTATTATCTCTATAAAAAAAAAAACAATATAAAATGTTGACGCGGTTTAACCATGACCATACAAAACAGGAGGACATGGAAGGGTACCGAAAGTGAGAGGGCAAAAAATCATTGTCCATTTTTCAAACCACATTGTACTTTTTAAGGGTGGAAATGCTTGAAAGAGACAATAAGAGAGAGAAAGTGAGAGTGGAAGAAAGGAAAAAAAAGTTTATTTAAAATTTTTAACATTAGAAAATTAAAAACATTTATAGGTGATGTTTAAATAAAAAATAATAAAATTTTATTTTATTAAATTACGTTATTGTCTAATTTTTTTTATTTATTAAAAACTTGACAAAAAAATTCTATTAACATATAATTTAGATATTGCAATAAAAGACTAAACATCTTTTCACCCTATAATTGACAAAAAAAAATTTATTAACATGTAAACTAGCATATGGGCATACACAAAGTGTGTGAATTTTTTTTTTATTTTTGTTTTTGAAATAGAAGGAGAGAAGAGTGATAGAGAATGTGAGAGTGGAAAGTTTTATTTATATTTTTAATTAATTATTTATTTTTTAATTAGAGATATGTTAGGATTATATGTAGGTGAGGCTTTGAAAACAAAAAGTAAAATTTGTTTGTGTGAAATTACATTTTTACCCCATATTTCTTATTCATGTTGTGTTTTAATTAGAGGGTTAAACTGATAATTTCATAAGATTTTGGTTGACAATGAGTGTTTTATTAATTAGTAGAGATATCACAATTGCCGTGTCTTATCTTTTCAGGTAATGCTATTCATACCATGTTTTTGTATCATATTTTCATATCATCTTAGGTAGCATTTGTTGTGGACAGCCACATCATTTGAATTAATCAGATTTTTAAATTTAGTTTATTATTTAATAAACTAATAATTAAGAAAAAATAGTTAGTTAAATAATGATTGTGGTATATAATGAACCCTTCTCCTTCATTTCCTTGAATTTTGCAAAATTTTCAAATAATGTGGCTGTGGTATAGAAATGTGGTATAAATAGCATTCCTCTATCTTCTCAGTCTCACCAACCTTATCTTTGAACCGACTATAATTAAGGGCTAAGCTTTCATCAGCGACATTAATTAAGGGCTAAGCTTTCCTCTCTATATAAACCACCACCACGTAGCAATCAGAAAACATATCAAAACAAATTACAAGAACCAGAAGAAAACACATGGATCTGCAGGCCTTGCCAGAAGGCTGCATAGCCACCGTTATCTCGCTGACCACGCCTCGAGACGCGGCCACCATGTCCTCGGTTTCGAGGAGTTTCAGGTCGGCAACGGAATCCGACTCCGTTTGGGGCAGGTTCCTTCCCCCCGATATCCACACTATCCTGTCCTCCTCGTCACCCTTCATGTCCGTACAGCCGCTGCATGTGTCTCCCTCCTCCGCTTCCAAAACCAAGAAGGAGCTTTACCTCGCTCTGTGCGACAACCCAGTTCTCATCGAACAGGGCAAGTTGGTAATTTCCTACTTTTCTCTTTATCTCTCTTGTTTTGTGGAATTTATTTGATTTTAGGAGCTTTTTGGTAATTATTTAGTTTTTAGTCTTCCGCTTTGTTTCTAAAAATTCAAGAAAATAGTTTTTATTTTTTTTTTTAATTTTAATATTTTTTTATACAATGATATGTTACATTTAGAGACGCGAAGCTCGATTAAGCCTCACAAAAACAATATCAAAATCGTCATTCATCCTTATGAAAGATTTTAAGCACGAATCTTTTATCTGAAAGTACCAAGTCTAAAACTTTGGGGGCGGGAAAGATCGTAAGTATTGTTGTTGGGCGAGGAGAGAGCGAGTAATCGGTGGGACCAAATAATTTGTGTACATTTGTTGGTGTGAATATTTAGAACAAGTGACCAAAGAAAGGCTAGAAAAACTGAGTTAGAAATTATAATGCATTCTATTGGTTTGGTTTGGTTTTTTTCTTTTCTTTTCTGTTCTCGTGTAGCGTTTTCTATCTCTCACTGCTCTAAGATCCTGAGTGTTAATTGGCATGATAATGCAGAGCTTTTCACTGGACAAATGGAGTGGGAAGAAATGCTATATGATAGCTGCAAGGGCCCTTTCCATCGTTTGGGCCAACACTCCTCAGTACTGGAAATGGATTTCTATCCCCGACTCAAGGTCTCTAAATTTCATTCTTTTTCCTTTTGAAGGAATTGTTACCTTATCAGCATTTCAAAATAGTCATCTGTTTTGCGCCCGTTCCTCGAAATTGAGGACTGCAGATGATTCCATGTTTTTATTGCATAAACTATGTGTTATGGTTGGTCATAGATTAAATTTTGAGTACAAGTTAACTATACTAAACGAACAGGTTTGAGGAGGTGGCAGAGCTTGTGGATGTGTGTTGGCTTGAAATCCATGGCAAAATTGAGACACGGATGCTGTCCCCATCCACCCTTTACAAGGCTTATCTTGTATTCAAGACGACTGTAGAGGCTTATGGACTCGAGCTCCACGCTGCGGAGGTCACAGTGGGTTTAATTGGGGAGATCAATGAGGCCCAAGACCAGCCCAGGGAGATCAATGAGGCCCAGTATCCGAAAGAGCGCAACGACGGGTGGCTGGAGATAGAGATGGGGGAGTTCTTCTGTGAAGAGGGTGAAGGTGGGGAGTTGGAGATGAGTTGCTTGGAGACAAATGGTCGCTGGAAGAGCGGCCTCATTGTTCAAGGGATTGAGGTCAGGCCCAAAAGGATGTAGAAGTCAAGTGGCGGTAGATTACTGTTTTTATAATTTCAAAATATTATAATTGAGCTATTTTCATATGCTAAATGTTGCAATTGAAGTGAGTCATGTCAATGTCCTTAGTCAATTGCTTCATTTGTTGTAATGTTTGTGTTCGATTGAGCACAAATGTTTGTAATCTTTGTGTTCAATTGCTTCATATGTTTAAACTTTTAGCATAATCTAATATACTGTTACAAACGATATTTTTACTTTAAGCTACATTAAACTTGTTCGCCGTTTAAGGAGAAAATTGTTGCACTGAAGTTACATTCTTTCCACTTTTCATTCAAGTTCATTCAAGCCGACAATGTTATTAAAACTATAGTATTAGCCACGATTACGTGAGCCTAAAAACAAAGGAAGACCACTTAACATGTTACTGCAAAAGTAAGTTCAAATATGTCAATGTATGGGTTTAGTTTATAACAAGTACCTAAACTTTTAAAAGTTGAATATTCGTTCGGCCACCAGCATTAAGTGATGACATTGACAAGTATTGAAGCAAGATTTCACTCTCACGTCATTTATACAACTCTAAATCCCCAAACCAATTCCTTTTAACTAGACAAAGTTAGCGTTTAACTTGGCTAAAAGGGATCGATTTGAGGATTCAAAACTCTAAAATGACGTGTTAGTGAAACTTAGTTCCAATATTTATCCATACTATCCCTTAAACATTAATGTCATCGTCAATTAACGGTAGTGATGTCTCACTTTACACCTATGACTAACGATGTATATTTTTCAAAACATTATGTAGTTATTTGGAATGCTCTAAAAAGTTGGAACAATTTAAAATTACCTCTAAAGATTAGATCATTATTCCTACTTAACCCTTATGTATTTGACTTTGTGTTGCCATTTTAGTTCCAACTCCATTTCTTCTGTATAACTGTTTTTAATTAGTAGTTTTTAATAAGATCTTTACACCTAAAAATGAGTAAGATAATTGGATTAGATACCTGTATAATTGTATTAGCAGTATGCTATATATGGGGGAGTGTATTGGTACTCTTCAATGCAATTTAAATCCGAATGAGAGTGTGATTGGACTGATGGGTGCCCTCTTAGGTCAAGGGAGCCTCATTAAAATAAATTTTACTTATAACACCTTAAGCGCTAATTGGTTATGTGTATAACGTCTTATCTTTTTTAACATAGAAAATAAGTATTGAAAAACTTTACTTTTACTCAATTTTCTTCAATTTTAATCCTAATTATTTAGTTATGATATAAATGGCCATTTAGAGTTCCCTTTAAAACGAAAAATCGAAGTGATTAACCAATTTAAGACTGGAATCGTAAAATCCAAACTCTAAATGATGATTCCCTTGCACTATCAATCGTGCTTTTCTGTAAATGAAATAAAAATTGAAGGGACTCGAGTAAAACTTGTATTCCACCTGTCAAGTTTTCAACAAGCCACAAAAACGACCTCTTAATCGTACCAAAAGGGACAACACATATGACGCCCATTCCTCAATGACCAATTCTTACCAACTAGACCAAGTCTTCTTAGGTATTTTCAACATATTTTTGACAAGTTTATATTATTAACTACTTTAACTAATGGTGTGGAGAATGAATTCCAAACGAACATAGAATTATTTTGGTGTTGTAATAAGAAAAAAGAGAAGATAAATATGATCTTGTTACATTAGTGCGGTGTGAGTTAAAAATTCTCCGGTTAGTGTAAAACTTTCTAAGTGCGGTTTGACATGACACATAGTGATTCTAATAGGAAATATGCAAAAAATTAATACACTATATGATCGTTTGACTTAATCCACATATGCTTAATATTTTCCTTTTAACATCTTACATTACTTTTGACTTTATATTGACGCAACAAGTAAACATGTGGGAGTGAAGTGTAAAATAGAAAGTACAAAGAAGTGTAGTGCGTTTCTGACTCTAAAGGCAAAGCAAAAGTGACGAAAGTGCAGAAGAGTAAAAGTACTGTGAGTACACGACTTGGTACAATAAGTGTCATAATATAAATACTTAAATATTTAAAAGAAAATTTTTAACTACTTGTATTAATACACTTTAGTGTGCCAAACCGTGTGCTCAACACACTAACAAATTTCTCGAGGGCCGGGGTACAAGGATTGTGACATGCGTGGTCGCAATTAGGGAGCACATGCAAACCAAACATGCTTGCTTCATCGTATTCATATTCTTCCCCCATCCTAATCTTTTTGTGTTGTATTAAATTTAAACCCTCTTCTTCTTTTTATTTTATTTTTTTCCCATCGTCATTTTCTTTGACAAAGAGATACTATAATCTGGTAAGGGATTCTCGAACTGGTAATTTGCTCAAAATCTGATTAGTCAAAGCCAAACTAAATGTAGTCCACTATGCCTGCTGATGAGAATAAAGCTCTTCTGTTTTTTTAACAACGATTGTCTACATTGAGGGATGAGGGCACTAAGTCTTACAACAGACTAACAATAATAGAGTTTATTTATCTTTGACGAGAATCAAACTTAAAATCTCTCGCTTACAAATAAAAAGGAATATTATTAACACTAAATGATGATACCTCACATTTTTTATCGAAATACTCTAAAGATTCTCGATAATTCCAACTTTGTTCCTCATTTTTCTGAAGACACCCACACCACCGTAAAGAAGCCAACGCCAAACAAGCCCCAATTTGACGGCCACCTGTCTCTGAATACTTACCTCTGTTATTGACATCGGCACGGCTGACAACTCCCATGCCGTTAGTAACAACTCACCACCTCAACTCATCCAACCAGATATCGCGTCTGTTGCGGAAGTTGTTGGTCATCACCATCCAACCCGTCCGTGGTAGGAAAGTCTGTCGTCCAATGCCCTAACTCTCCCACCCCGTCTCCAATTTCCTATTGCCAAACTTCACCAACCGTCCAAAATTCTAAATAGGGTTGAAGAAGTACGTGCAAGTTGTCGGGGATTGTAGAGAGAGAGAAGATACGGTGCCATGGTGAGAGGTTGGTTTTTTGCTTCAGATTTTCTGCGGTCGTTGGCTGGCGACACGTGAAATGGGGTGTTTGTATTTTCTTATCGTACAAATAGAAGTGTGAGATGTTTTCGTAAGATTACAAGGGTGTTAATAAAATTGTCCTTATTACCTTGTGACGGAATAAGATTTTTTTCGGATCCTCTTTATGGAAGTTCAGAGGATAAATCAATTGTGTTTGTTCATCATATATCATCATATATCGTGCGATTAAAAATTATTTTAAAATTTTAATTTAATATTAAATATAAATAGTACCTAACAAAAACTGACCGCACAATGTTATGATGTATGATAAACATAAATATGTCTATTCGGAGGATTCTGATACCTTTTTTCACAGCGGGAAAGAGAACCAAGACTTAACGGCTAAGCTTTCCTCTCTCTATAAATACACAACCAAACACCACGTAGCAACCATAAAACATGCGAAAACAAATTACAACGTATTTTTCAGTTACCTGAGGAACCCAAACTTAGGCAGTGGCGGAAACCAGGAGAACCAGTAGAAAACGGATGATGTCGGTGGCGGAGGAATCGCTGTGACGACGCCCGATCACATGGATCTGCAGGCCTTGCCGGAAGGGTGCATAGCCACCGTTGTCTCGCTTACCACGCCTCGAGACGCGGGCACGTTGTCGTCGGTTTCGAGGAGTTTCAGGTCGGCAGCGGAATCCGACACCATCTGGGACAGGTTCCTTCAACCCGATATCCACACGATCCTGTCCTCCTCGTCACCCGCCATGTCCGTACATCCGCCGCATGTGTCTCCCTCCTCCGCTTCCAAAACCAAGAAGGAGCTTTACCTCGCTCTATGCGACAAACCTGTTCTCATCGAGCAGGGAAAGTTGGTAATTTCACTACTTTTTCCCTTATCTCCTATTCTTTTGCGGGATTTATTCGAGTTTGGAGCTCGTTTTGATAATCATTTCATTCGCAGTTTTTAGTTTTTGAAAAAAAAAATTCGAAGTCTAGTGAGTTTGGCGCTCGTTCTTGTTCCACAAGTACAGGAAAAAAAAGTGGTACAATATTCAGTTTGACATGCAGATGGTCGAAGGAATAGCTTTAAAACTGCTAGTGTTCAATTCTTTTTAGCATTAGAAGAAATACGAAGAAAGGCTAGAAAAAAAAAAAAACTAATAGAAAGGGCTTAAAAACTTTGAGTTTTAATGATAAGAACAAAATAAAGGGTAAATTAAATAGTACCATGATTGATTTTTTAGTGTAAAAATATGGTTTTTCGTTAAAATGAACAGTACCGTATGTTTTTCGTTAAAATTTCCTAGAAAAAATGAGTTAGAAATTGGAACGCATTCCCTTGGTTTAAGGTTTATGGATTTGAGCAACAACCTTTGGAGGTCTCAGTCGGTTTAATTGGGGAGGAGCCCACGAAACACGATGTTTCTGGACCCTCAGAGAGGCCTTGGTTCCCAAGGACCCGGCTTTCCCCTGGCCGGGCCTCTGCGTATCAGCGTCTTCAACCGGAGACACATTGTGGGAGTCCAAGATTTTCAGCTCAGAGAGATCGAGGTCAACGAGGCCCAGTACCCGAAAGAGCGCAACGACGGATGGCTGGAGATAGAGATGGGGGAGTTCTTCTGTGAAGGGGGTGAAGGTGGGGAGTTGGAGATGGCTTGCTTGGAGGTTAGGCGTATACACTGGAAGGGTGGCCTCTTGTTTCAAGGGATTGAGATCAGGCCCAAAAGGATGTAGAAATCAAGTGGCAGTAGATATTGTTGTCTCTGTAATTTCAAAATTATTGTTGAGCTTGTAATTTAGAACCAAAAAGGTATTTGCCTTATTGGTTTTTAAAAGTTTAGGAGGGAGGAGGCTACCTCAACCTGCGAGGCCACCTCATAAGTTCATAACATACTACTATCATGACCGTAGCCTTGCATATTATTTATGAATGAGGTTTTTGGTTTTTATAGATCACTTACTACGATCATGACATATTATTATCATGATTGTAGCCAATTACTCCATTATTGTAATCTTTGTGTTCAGTACTATTGTTGACTCTAAAAATTACAAAACCTACGTGGCGCGCAGGCCGAGTAACTAATGAGCTAACTACGTCCTTCGGTTGAATGCGGGGCGTGCCAACTCGTCGGCCGAGCCCGGCCGAGGAGTAAAATCTGATGTAGTCGCGTTGAGCGCGCTGTTGACTTCTGTATCTTGCGATTGCGACCGAGGAAGGAACGCTCTCGGTCTCTGGATTCTATAGCCTGAAGACAAGGCTACTAATTCTACGGAGTTCACGAATCGTCGAAGCCTGATTCGGCCACTGTGATTATATTCGTAAGAGTATAAGCACGCCAAATTGAGACCAAACTATACGGGCACAGGTACTCGAATGTGATATATGTCTTGATGGTAAACGTAGTTCGGCCGTCGGAATGCCGAACCCTGAAACTTACTTGCGAATATCCAATCATAAACTCACTCGGCCTCCAATGCGCCGAGCAACGCAATACGTAACACCCAACTATGCCGAAACGGCTTAGTAAGATGACCTCTACCAACAAAGGTTCAAAAAACCTCTCTCGGCCGAGACTTAGATAGATAATCGGTCGACCTCGACGCAGTGCTGTTTATCCAAACTGAAGGTGTTTCTCGGTCGGCTGATTCTGCGGCAGCAGTGCTGTTTATCCAAACTGAAGATGCTCACCGGTTGCTTCCACAGTGCTGTTTATCCAAACTGAAGGTGTGTCGGCAGGAAAAGAAAAGGAAAAATCTCAAGGTGTTTGAGAGAATTTGCGCAGGGCAATTGTATGCTGATGTTGAAGGTCCTTTTCATTGTGTGAATTCTTGTATTTATAGCACCCGTTCCCTGAAACCGATTTGCACTCTGATTCGGATTGGGAGTCCTTATCCCATTTCACCTCTAACTCGAACATTCCCACTCCTACTGGGATTCCGAATTTTCCTCCTTTTGAGGCTCGATTCCTTGCCGGTCGAGAATCCTGGTCGCACCAGGATTTCCTCGACCCTTTCTACTCATCTGGACTACTCAGGATAGGATTTGGCTGACCCTGCTGGTTGGCCCGGGTTTCATTATTCGGCCCATAGCATCTGTCATCACCTTGGGCCGAGCACATCTCGCTGCTCGGCCCAACCATAGTATTTTGGGCCCAAACAACTATACAAATATAAAACTATCGGTTTCACGAAAAAGCCAAGACTTGTGACGATTGAGCAAAAATCTTTGTTGTATCTCTGTGTTCAATTGCTTCTCTATGTCTTTAAATTTTTCATCGTAGCATAATCAAGTTTACTGTTATAAACAATAACATTACTTTAAATTACACTAAAAGAAGAGGACATTATGAATTTTAGACGTTTGAATTCACTAGAATAATTCTTCAATTAGAATCCCAGTTTAGATTACTAAATATTGATCATACACTGTATGCTTGGTTCTAACCTTTGATCTCTAGCTCTTCTCAAACGCAATAATATCTAAACTATAGTTCCAAAAAAATAAAAATAAAAACTATAGTTTGGGTCGCATATTGTCAAACATCTCAAAAGCACTTAACATGTTACTGCAAAAGTAGGTTCAACCAAATACAATGTGAAGATCTTAAAAAGATGGAAGTCGCATCCTCTCCAAATTTATTGTCCAGAGCTAACAAATCGAGTAATTCAAGGAAAGAGATTCGAACTTTTAGTTTGTGTGAGGTAGACAAATAGAATGGGCTAACGGATGCCGTAAAATTTAAAATGAGTGGTTTGAATTTTTTTGATGGATCAACAACACACTACTAATCAATACTATATTATCTCCAATTAACTTAACCTACTTGCTACACCAATTAATTAATTACTTTTATACAAGTACTAGTTAATATTAAATTCATTTAAAATTATGAGAAAAAGAAAAGGGCGAAATATAAATTTATGATATTTTTATATATATTTCTTTGACAAAAATATTTTTTAATTTTTGTTTTTCTTGAGTGAGAAACACAAATAAGGACAGTTTTGTTTTGTTGTCAGTGGGTCGTAAAACCCAAGACGAAAGTGTTCTGTCAAGTTTTGGTCCATCTCCTCCTACTCCTCCTCCTCGAGTTGCCAGACTCCACCAAAGGAGCTTAGAGAACGAAGACGACCCAAAAGCGAAAAAAAAGCACTTTCAGCAGAAGCAGCTTCCCACTCTCACCTCCACCAGGTTTTCCATTTCTTCCTCCTTTTCCTTCTCTAATTTTCTATTTTAATATCACATATTTTTATTATCCACCGCATCCCACAGAACTTCAAATAGAAATTAATGCACAAGTTGTCGATTTTAATGGGTTTGTCAATGATTGCTGAAAAGGAGAAGAACCCACTTCGTAAAAGTGCTTATTTGAAAAGCCTTTTGGGGTATTGGGATCTGAGGATTAGTGTTTGGATCCGTTCTGAGATTCCCGAATTGTAATTTGGAAAAAAAGTTTGGGAATTTCTGGTTGCTAATTGTTGTTTTTGTAAAATTTCAAGTCTTGGGTTTGAGTTGGGAATAATTTTGGGGGCAGAATGCTCTATTTTGATTTATTGGGTTATCGGTGATTTTAGTTTTATGGTGTTGTAAGTTAATCACCAGTAAGTCGGTGACTCAAATGGCCACATGGATTGTTCCGGTGACGTTTTCCTTTTGTGCAGTCGAGTCGGGTCTTAGGGTTCTTCAAATTCAACCTACATTGTGTTGGATAAGACTGTTCTTAAGCCACGCTTTTCGGTTTCTGTCTTTGCCGTCAGTCTGAGGATGATGGGGTGAGAAATGTGCGAGGTGTTAGCGCTACTAAGTAGTTTAATCGTGTCATCCGTAGATTCTGTAGCAAATGAAAATTGAGTCTGCTACGGGAGCAAGAGTGATGGGGAGTTTTAGTATCATCAAAATGGATTACCCCTCATTTGAATTGCTTGTTGGATGTGGCTCCAACACAAGTAATCTTACTGGTAGATTCAAAGTTTCACAATTATGCCAATAAGCGAGTTTTTTCGTGTATTCAAAATTTGTTTAATAGTTGATGCCAGTCATTAATAAAATTACTCATGTTTTTTATTTATTTATTTTTTTTTGTTTCACAGGTGTGGTAATAATGTTTCTTTCCCTGTAAAAGAGATAATTCATCAACACCAAAGGGTCAAAGGATATACCTTGAACTGTTCTTATCCTATATTAAAGGCGCCCTTCGCTGATGATTATTGATTAGTCAGGACTGGTACGATTCTTTCCATTTGAGTTTCCTGTTGACCAGTTATGCACACACACACACATACAGAAAAATGCTGCCTTCTTGATCTTGTGTTCCCGTGCTGTGTCCATATATAACAGGAGGTCTCATGAAGTGCAGTGTTTACAACACAGCCTTTCTGGAGAATTATCAATCTGTGTCTGGATGAGGGGAACTGTTAGAATCATGTGACACTTCTGCTACCGTCGTGGATACATGGAAGATCATTCGTTAGCTGTGCAGAACGATTCTGTTGCCTTGACGGAATATGCTTTAGACTTGGCTATTGGGCAAGAATTTCCTGATGTTGAAACTTGCAGAAGAAGATTGAAGAACATTGCTTTGGTACAACATTTTGATCTTCGTATAGTGAAATCAGATCGCAGCCGGTTTATAGCCAAGTGCTCCAAAGAAGGTTGCCCATGGCGTGTCCATGTGGCAAAATGTCCCGGAGTTCCAACCTTTACAGTAAGAACCCTGCATGGTGAGCATACCTGTGAAGGAGTTCTCAACCTTCATCATCAGCAAGCATCAGTAGGTTGGGTTGCTAGGTCTGTAGAAGCACGGATTCGGGATAACCCACGGTATAAACCAAAAGAGATCCTGCAAGATATCCGTGATCAGCATGGAGTTGCTGTTTCTTACATGCAAGCTTGGCGTGGCAAGGAACGTAGCATGGCAGCACTTCATGGAACTTTTGAAGAAGGGTATCGCCTTCTTCCTGCATACTGTGAGCAAATAAAGAAAACCAACCCTGGAAGCATTGCTTCAGTTTTTGCCACTGGACAAGAAAATTGCTTCCACCGTCTCTTCATTTCTTACCGTGCATCAATCTATGGGTTTATACATGCTTGTAGGCCACTTTTGGAACTTGATAGAGCGCACCTCAAAGGAAAATACTTGGGTTCCGTACTTTGTGCCTCAGCTGTTGATGCTGATGATACATTATTTCCTCTGGCAATAGCTATCGTTGATGTGGAAAGCGACGAAAATTGGATGTGGTTTATGTCAGAATTGCGAAAGCTTCTTGGAGTAAACACTGACAACATGCCTAGGCTAACAATACTCTCTGAGAGACAGAGGGGTGTTGTAGAGGCAGTGGAAACTCATTTTCCTAGTGCCTTCCATGGTTTTTGTCTGCGTTATGTTAGTGAAAATTTTCGTGATACCTTTAAAAATGCAAAGTTGGTGAATATCTTCTGGAATGCTGTTTATGCTCTCACTGCGGTTGAATTTGACAGCAAGATTGCAGAGATGGCAGAGATCTCACAAGACGTGATACCATGGTTTCAACACTTCCCTCCCCAACTTTGGGCTGTAGCATATTTTGAAGGAGTGCGATATGGCCATTTTACTCTCGGTGTTACAGAGCTGTTGTATAATTGGGCTCTTGAATGCCATGAGCTCCCTATTGTGCAAATGATGGAGCATATTCGTGATCAGTTATCATCATGGTACAATGACCGCCGGAATATGGGAATGAGTTGGACATCAATTCTAGTACCATCTGCTGAGAAACGGATTCTAGAGGCAATGGCTGATGCTCGATGCTACCAAGTACTTCGTGCAAATGAAGTCGAATTTGAGATTGTGTCTACTGAGCGGACAAATATCGTGGATATACAAACTCGCGTGTGCTCATGTCGCCGTTGGCATATA